CGTAGTTATTTTGCGACAATTAATCAACTCGAGGACCTGCTGGTCCTTGTGTTCATTCAAAAATTACCTTGCTCCCTGGTAAAAAATATCATATTTCTCTACTATTTTGCAATAACAAAAATTAGAAAGAGAAAAGGAAACAAAATGGTTTGTGATCCATAAAGAAGTTAACGTGTTGTCTTCAGCCACATTAGTCTTCTGGCTCACTGAAGAATGACTGCTTGTTGAGTGTCAGATAATGAAGACAAATCGTGCAAAAATTGCTCCCCCATAAGCTTGAATCTTACACCAAAGAGAGTTGGAGAGAAGCAGAGTAAATGATCGACCGTTTCAGTTTCCTCCTCATCTTAATGGAGCTTGCAGTAATCGGTGTCGTCGAAACCGTACTTAGGTGTCATGGTCCTTTTTAAAACCACCTTCATTCCTAATAACCATACATAGATGTCATGGTCCTTATGTTATAGCGACCTGTAATGATTACCACCACAAGTTCTAGGTCTGATTTCGCCATGGAGATGAGCGAAATTGATCTCTTCCTCAAAGAGTGCCGGTAAAATTTTCTTAGACACATTACGTCCCCTTTCATTTAGCCAGCTTGGTTGAAATCTCCTAAAGTAATGGTTATATATAACACCAAATCCTTCGACTCGGAGCCACGCCTTGTTAATTCATCTGCTTATTCATTACCAGAGATGTTGTAGTGGCTTAGAACCCAACAAAACATCATAAAAGACTTAGCAAAGATTTCTGCCTGGAATACGCAAGTTTTGAAGGAGTTTCAGATATTCAGGCAAGTCAGGTGGGAAATTGTACGATCATGGCTCACTTCTTCTCGTACCTCCTCAACAAAAGGTCAACATTTTTAAAGATAAGATAAAATAACGAACTGCGTAACATATATTAGCAAAATAATTTTTTTGATAAATCGTTTTTCTAATCAGATCTGAAATATGTTGGTATCCTCGGCGGACGTGAGAGCTGAAGATAATTTCTAGAAGAAACATTAATCTCAAAATCTATCTCCAACTTGGCATCGGTTCGGCTGATTTAAATAGTGGTTATCGAAAAATACATTTTTAGCAGTCTGTCTTTAACTTGAGTGACCCGTAATATACTAATTTAGGATTTTCGACGCACAATTCCTTTTTCGCTATTCCCACAAAGTTTCGGTGCAACTTCTGCTTGTTTCTACCATAGAAGTTTTGGCTCTAACTTTCAGGTCGGCATTTCTACATAAGCTATGGCTTGCTAATCCTTCAGCCACTTTGGTTTTCCAAATCGTCATTAATCCGAATATCAACATCTTTGTACATCACTATTTTAAACTAAGGATCATCTCCCACATGTATGCTTTTTGATGAAATTTGATGAAAAATAAATGATATTCGGTACAAGATATGAAATACTCTTGCAAATTTTGTCAAAATCGGTTCATATTTAGATAACCGTGTTGAGTTTGTTGCATTGGGTGAAATTTTGGATCATACGATCAAGTTCCGACTAGACTATAGTCTGTCATGTTTGGACTACATTAACTCGGATATAGCTTTTGTTCTCACATATGTATTTCACTCGATTTTTTTATTTATGTCTCCTCAAAATCATCAAATTCTCTCTTTCACAATATTGGTTACGAAAAAAAATTGAAAATCAATTCGGACTCAGATATAGCTCCTATATATTAGATCCAACCGATTTCAAAGTTCAACCACTCAAAGAATTTAAACGTTCTTAATAACGATCATTTCACACAATTTCCCAAACATAAGCATATATTCTTTACGGGTAGAACTGTTAGATATGCATTGTGGTGTAGGGACCCATATAGTTGGCGCCGCCCAACTTTTGTCCTATCCTTACTTATTTCTTATAGTAAATGCGTTCGAATGGACAAAGCTTAATCGATAAACCTAGAAAACCCTTCAGCCTCACTTTATTTTCTATCATAAATATTTGATAATAAATATTTATTATAAAATAAACGATTTGCCTTCATTCATCTAACTACTATAATTACGTATAGTTCGCATCGAATATACCCAGAATACTTCCTGGCCAACCGACCAGCTATCCAGCCAGCCAAGCCAGCCCATCAGACTAATGTTCATGTTATTACAAGAAGATTTGTTTTTCGTGCAGCCAACATTTTGCCCAAACCACAAAATCTTTCGAGATTTCCAAGATGATGACGATGATGACATTTGAAAGCGAAATAAACCTCTACCAGCAATTGTTCCATCCAACACATATTCAAACATCGAATGTGAATTCGAGAACATTACATTTGCCGAAGCTAGAATTTATGCTTGCACCCATCGTCCATGGTCATTGCCATTTCATGGCATGGTGAATGGCGAAGCGAACATTGCAGTTAACTAATTTTTGATTTCGGGCGATGTTTTATTTAAAGTACATGGCCACAATTCTGCTGAGGTCAATTTTGAAGTCTTCTTTAGCCGCGTGCCAAGGTATATCTCCATTGTTTTCGTTCTTTTTTTCGTCGGACCACATAGAAGAACAATAGCATTTGCCAAACAACACATTCTCAACATAGGCAAATGTTTGGGTTTGTCAAACAATAACACATTGTTGCAAACAACAACAACAGCAGCAAAAACAATGTTTGACTGGAATCATCCAACATAAAGAACATTGCCTTGGGTGGACTAGTTCTATGGATAATATGCTATTGTAAGTTTTTATTCTGTTATTCAAAATCGATTGGCTATTTGAAGTGAAATTCCACACAAAGACATATTCAAAACATATGTATTGAAATGTTTGAATAAAAACATTAAAAGATAAACAAATCGAAAAAATTCTTTAATTTAAAAATGGCTTCAAATTCTGATATTGAATCCTAAAATCGTATGTAATGTATTCACCTATGGAATATCTAAAAGTGTATTGTGAAGTTTGTCAACGAGAATAGTGAAAATCTCTTTAAAAAATCCTGTTACCTATATATACATATAAGCTATAATCTTGAAATTTCACATGAGCGTCAGTGTTGGTGCGTAGGCTTGTGATAAGGCTGGGTTTTTGGAAATCCATATTAAATGATACTAAAAAAATACTAATATGTATTAATAATTGAATATTCTGTATTGGACAAACGGAATGAGCTAGAATTCTGAAATTTGGCAGAAGAGTCAAGATTACGAAAAGTTTTTTAAATTGGCCTAGATAATCAGAGCTTCATCATTATATTATAACCTTCACCTTAGTATGTAGAGTATATTAAGTTTGTCATTCTGTTTGAAACACCTCGAAATATACATTTTAGACCCCACAAAGTATATATATTCTTGATCAGCATAAAACTCTATGTTTATTTAGCGTTGTCCGTCCGTCTATCGTCTGTCAGTCTGTGAAAATCATCAAATCAAAATTAGCTTTCGAAGATTGATAAAGTTTTACTCAAATGTATATTATATCTGCAGGAGTTTTGGTATTGAAAATGGGCTATGTAGGCAGGTAGGTAGGTAGTATTTCAAGTTCTTAATGGATAATACAGCCTATAACAGAAAATTGTCTGTGTAGGTTCACGTCTTCATATAGCTCCCATATAACGGTACCTCCCGGTATTCGGTATTTTGATGATTTTACCTAAATTATTCACCGATTTTTTTTAAGTTTCGCATTTAAATATTATAATGGCTTATGGCAAAAGTAACCTATGCAGGTCCATGTCGTCGTATAGACCCTAATATAACAGTTACATTCGGTATTTTTAAGATTTTAAGAAAAATTTTAAGGGATTTTATTGTTTTTGAGAATTGACAAATTCGTTCCAAATGTTGAAGGGTATTCAAAGTTCGGCCCTGCCGAACTTACAGCTTTTCTAATTATTTTAAAGTCAATTATACCAAATTTACCGTTATAGGGGACTTGCATATAAATTTTTTTGTCATGTGTATTTGTATTAACCCATTAGGAACTTGAAATTCCAAAATTTGAAAATTTTCCGCTGAAAAGTGTGACACAAATCATCAAAATACCAAATATCTGGAGGTAGAGACTATACCAAAACTCTGACCTATATTGGCATTCCTATGTAAGCATAATGGAAACACATACTGCTAATTTACACCAAATTTTGATAAAATTGTAACTAAACCTTAAATCTTCAGAGTCCTGCAGACAAAATTTTATCAACCTACTTCATTTCGTCCGGACAGACAGATGGACGGACATAGCTAAATCGACAAGAACTAAAAGTGCAGGAAAAGTATATTTGGTTTTTGGTGAACAGATAGTGCTTAATCTGAAATTTGGTATTAGGGTCGCTGTCCATGTGTAACCTGACATGTGAAGGTGGTTTTAGAAATGTGTACTATACTAAATGATAATAACTTTGGATCACTATTGATGTCTAGGAGAGATGTGATAGATTTGGATAAGCGTACAAAATTTGGGATTGTGTGAGAGAATTGAGCTGGAATTCCGAAATTTGATGTAGAGGTCACAGTTGGCTTCTATAGTTTACATATAAATAAGTTGAAAAAATTTTTAACAGAAAACTTGAATGTGTATCCACTTTGCAAGGATTTAAATAGTATTCTCTTTAGAAAACTTCAAAACGAATAATTTTGAAGGCTTTTGGTGCCAAAAGTAATATTTTTCGATTATCATAGAGTATAAACGCACTGGTGCAGATGAAAAATTAGTGCGGTATGTAAAGTTTTGTTTGGAATGTTGATATTGAACCAATTGAACTAAAATGAAAAAATCTAAAATTTTAAGGTGGACCTTTGCTGACGAAGTAGCGTGCACTTGCTGGTATTTTGTATTTAGGAAAACACAAATATAATTTGCTGAAGAAAATATAGATCAATTAAAAACTTTCGAGCTGAAACTCCTGCCTTGTATGATTTGCCAAATATGTGATCAGTAATACAAACACACCTGCCAAAATTTAGAAACTATATAGGCCGGGAAAGCCATTATAAGGTATTTTAAACAATATATATTATAAATTAACAATAGATTAAAATAATAGATCTTAAAAAATTTAAACTATAATCATCCACACCAAATATGGTGGTGAGTGTGTGATAGTGTCTATCTGGCTTTCCTTTTCACTTCAAATTTCAGATCATTAAGCTCGTCTCGAAAGAGAAACAAACACATAAAATCCTTATTTTTTCATCACGAAGTAATGAGTACCGTCGGCACAGCGTATGAGTGTCCAACTGCAAAATAAAGATTTTAAAACAATCTTAATTGGAGAAATGTAAAATTTTAAATTAAAAATGGTTCAATCCGAGTTTCAAAGGAATACAAACAAAATGTTTCGAAGCAAAAATTGGAATAATTCCGATTTCAAGCGAAATTCTCAAGTCATAGTTCGTAATAAGTACTGCCACCGGTGGCAGAATATTGTCGGTAAAGGACAACATTTTCCTATAGCCGATTCCTATTTATCGGTATTACGTGGGTAATTTATTGTACTTTGAAGACTTAACCTGCGCGCCTTAACCGAAATCACTCTCTCTAAAATCCCTATAATTTATATTAAAGGCTTTCTTACCTCACGGATGAGGGTATTAAAAATTCGACCTGCCGTACTTAATGTTTATTTGTTGTTCATAAAAAATATTACATTTAATTAAAAACGTTTAACAAATATCTAAAAACTAGAATATATAGACCTCACTTGTTGTTAGAAATACTTAATATCTCATCAATAAGTATCAAATATTCCACCTGTTTATTTTTGTTTTGTATCCATTTGTTGCCTGTTTTCGTTTTACATATCTGTAACTTCACATCAACATAAAACAATGAAAACTAGTTTAAAGATTTTTTTTTTTTTCTTTGAAAATTTCTGTACTTTCATAAAATAAATTAATTGGCTCCGTTGGGACAACAATCGCTTTTCCTCAACCGCATAGAGCAATTGGTGCGATTCTGAATTCGTGATTATTATTTATGCTAATCGGCAATAAATAACAAACGCACGCATGTGTCCATGAATTGCACCTCCAATGGAGCGCTACCAGTCCGTTGAGCAGTTGGTCAATTTCTCCAAAAAAAAAAATTAACTATGTACTTGCCAATGAGTTATTGTTACTTTATATGGTGCTAACGTTCAAACAATTGTTAGATTTTAATTGAGATAAATTACATTTGAGTCATGCATTTATGCATTAGATGTACAAAAAAGCCATTTTAATTCCACCCCGCCAAACAAGGAAAGCAAATCAAACACACACACGCACGCACACAAAACGCAATAGCTGGTGTTTGGTTCTCAAAGCTTGCAAATTTTATAAATATTATTATCCGATATTTCGTAGCTTGTGTAGATTTCCCCTCCGTTACATTTAAGCGATTGCAGATATTTTCCGTTATTTTTTCGACATTATTTTCAATATTCTTGAAAGCTCCTACTTAGCACGACTGCATCAGTGATTGGTGAACATGAATTAGCAATTCTATGCCGTCCATACATGGTATGCCCACAATCTTTTGCTGATCATCTTCGCCATTACCAACATCGTTGTCGTCGTCGCCTAATGTTTGAGAATATCTTCAATTTTCATCATTGATGTCGAGTGACTTAACAAAATGGAAAAACAGTTTTTTAGCTTATCCCGTAGGCGAGATAGCACTGCTTAAAAATTTTCCATCATCTTGGTGCATGGAAAATTCTAGATAAGTGTTTGTCACTGCTGAAGTGAAATCCTTAATTGAATTTTATTTCTAACGTGTTTTTTTAGGACTTGGGCCTTGACACTTATACTTCGAACACGACCAGCAACTGTTCTACCCTTGAAAAAAAAAATTATATAAATAGGTAATGCTAAATACAGGGCGAGATGAAAAAACTGCTATCAACTTCAGACTGCTGTCATTTTTAAGCCTCTTAAAATTAATTCAGAGACAGCACATTAAATTGTTCAAAAATTTACAAAAGTATTTTGATGAGAATTTTCCAGAAAAAAAGTTATTCGTTATGAAATTCAAGCACATGTGGCTATCGTTAGAGCACTCAGCATTTAAATATGTATACATCTTTTGTGTCTCGTACCATCGCTGGTAACCGTGATACTAGTATCGTAGCCCGACGTCAAGGAAGTAGACGGAAAAAAAGGGCAACATCAGCAGAAATGGTTCGAAAAGTAAAGAAGCGGCTTGATCGAAACCCGCGTCGCAGTGGCCGAAAAATGGCTCGTGAGCTGAACATACCACAATATTCCATTCGGCAAATGGAATTGAAAAATTAGTTTGGGGTAAATCCATTGAAATTCTAAAATGTGCAACCGCGACAGAAAGAAAAGAGACTCAAAGGAGCTTAAGAGTTGCTTCGCTTGGCCTAAAGTGATGAACTGCCGAATTTGGTTTTCTCAGATGAGAAAACATTCGTTGTCCAGCAGTTTGTAAGCAAACAAAATTATCGGGTTTCCTTGCCAAAGAGCTCAGCTGAAAACGTGCACCTTCGATTGGCCACTAGAACTCAAGCGCCGGCCATGGTGATCGTGGGGGTGCCATAACAGCTGATGGTCGCTCTCCGCTTGTATTAATCGAACGTGGCATCAGTATAATATCCAACAACACGACTTAAAGAAATTAAAGACAATAAAACTGTGACATTCAATATTTGAACGAGTATTTAAAATACCATATATTAGGTGTTACCGTTATAGGGAAAATACACTAAAATCTACTCATCTAACTGGTTGCTACAGTGGTGTGACACGTTTTAAATGCCAAATTTCAAACAATTTTGAAAAAAAAAAAATAACTACCAATACAAAGTAAAGTAAGTCCTTTGGAAAATGTTAATACAACCTTCTATTATTAATATATTTTCAATTTTATAACAATTTCAGAATATGTTACACTCATCAAGCTGATAGAAACTTTTGGGGGTTTAAAATGCTTAGTTCTAGAAGTTTTAGATATTTTTTCGATATCATAAAGGGAAAATCGGTTATCGTAGTAAAAACATGGGTATTCTTGCAGCATTTTACTTGTGGATTTTCCATTCCCAAAGATGTCTTGAATTATAAAATGTTTAACAAAAATATTATTTCTTGAAAAAAGTCACGCAGTTTCAGGAGTTTCCATCTGATATTTTACAAGCTATGGGAAAAATTAAAACATTTGGAAAAATTTTACATGGTTCTGTACTCATTCAGTGGGTGATTTGGATGCCAACAATGTCCATCAATCAGAATCTAAATCTTAAAATGTCCTTCAAATGAGAGTACATTCGCATTCGGAAACTTTTCTAAATGAGTATTATAGCTTGATAGCAGTAATAATTTTGAATCAGAGGGAACTAATTTTTGGAAGGTATATTCAAATCTGAATCGATTTCCACAAAAATGACGTAGGCATTTGTACCTCTCGTAACAAATAGAATAGCTGTAGAGTACACATGACTTCCAGAAAGAGAAGGGAATCGAGGTTCACCATAGGGAAAAAATCGGTTGAATGTGCAAAAATCCATTATTATGGGGTGATATAATTTTTGGTGCATATTAACAGTGAAATCGGATACAGATTTATATAGTAATAACTATATCTAAATCAGAACCGATCTCGATAAAATTTGACAGAGGTATTTCTGAGCTACATCTGATCTATGGTCCCAAATATCATTATTGTGGAGTGTATATTACGAATGTGAGGTACTTAAACAACAAATCGGATGAAACATATGCATGAAAGCTACAGCTATTCCAATGTTTCCAGATGTGAAGTACTTGCTTCGAGGCTGAATTGAGGCTTATGTGTCGAAATTCATTCTGTTTGGTCGAATATTACATAACTGGTTCAAAATAACGTTCAAATCGGACGAACATATATACGGGAGCTATATTCAATAGGGTTCGTCGTTGAGGCAAATAAATGATTTCTGGAAAATTACATTTCAATCAAACAATAAATGTGACCTGTACTTTGATTACAAAAATGCATGGACTGACAGAGGAACATACCTAAATCGACTCAGAATGTGTTTCTATGGAGATAATCAAAGGAAAGACGGGTCTATCTCTACAATAACCAAATCTCAAATGTTGATATATAACAACATTTAACTGTTTCAATTCTTTTTAAATATTGTTGAGTGATAGAGCTTAGAAGTGTTCGATTAAGAAACAGACCGATTTTTTAGCCATGTGGAATACAAGATTTTTCTCGAATCACAAAATTTGTTTCAGAATTTTTAATCTTTTACAGTTAATAGTTTTAGTTAACTGATCTAGACGTCCATCATCCAAGTTTATCCCTTCCAATGTGTTCATCAAGTTGATTGAAACTCCCAGCATCAATCATATTGGCAAAGTTATCCCTCCATGCGGTAAAGTGTTACTAAAATTAATGAATCAAAAAATTACCATATCATGTGCAAACTTGATTTTTGTTGTTGTTTTTGTTGTCGTAAAAAAGAATAACGGAACGATACATTCCGTAACCATCTAGCATGGGTGCTGGGTCAGTGGCCATAATTTATGTGCCGTTCGCCAATAAACCACCCGGGCCCGTCCGACCGTTTGTTTGTCAATCAACAAATAGCCAAACAGCAGCAGGTAGATATGTATGTGTGTGTATGTTCCTTTCCAACCCAATATCGATTGCTAAAGTCTGAACATGCATTTAATTAAAATAAATTGTTAAACATTAAGCAGCGAGTGTAAATATTATGATACGAAATAATATTCAGTGCATTTTTGATTTATTGCCGTAATTATTGTTGGCATTAGTTGGATTGGACGGCTACGCAAAAGCCTCGCGAGCAGATAAATACAGAATGGGTGAAAAGAAAAATCAATAAGAACTAACGACCAAACGACCGGCCAGTCTGTCACTCAGCCAGTGAACCGATCCACAAACGGCCTTTACCAACCAAAGAATGAATAATGAAACACACAACGATAGAACGAGAGAGAGAGAAGAATGAAAATTAAATACCAGAAGACAAAATAGAAACGAAAACGTGTAATTTAATGCATTTTTGCTGTCCACAACGCCTTTCATGGAAGAAATACGGCCAAGAAGTTGGCGATTGGTAACTTCGTGCACATACGAACAAAAAAGTTGGGTTTCATGTGCGGCTGCGCAAGTGAACATGCTTAGCTGCCAAGCCAAGCCGAGCATGGTAGCCGCCACCGTCACCACTGGAACCCTTGCTGCCCCACCAAGCTCTACCGTGTATCCGATTTAAATTAAAGCACTTTAACTAAAGTGTTGTTACGTTAATTATGCGTAAATATTGCCTTCATTGTGTTAAATACATACATGGAGAACGGCCACAACAAAATATACATAGCTGTCGGACTGTCAGTCAATGTGTCTGTTTGTCGGGCAGTTTATTTGTTTGTAAAAGTCAATTGTTTAACAAGTCAAAGTAAACGTTGTTGGCAACATGTTGACAGGTCTGTCGGAATCTATGTAGCGCTGTCGGGCTTTGGTTGTCATGCAAATTGACATAACTTGGATTTTTGATAAAATTAAGAGAATAATTTTTATATTCCTTGTTCAAACCTAATTATATTTCTATGATATTCCTACAAATGGCCTCATAGGTCCGTTAAGCTAAATAAATGTAAATTTATGTGGGATCCTTTTCCTCATAATAGTCAATACGAGTGAACAGAATACAACCTGATATCTCACAGGATTTATGAAAGCAATGATAGCTAAAGATAGCTATATAATCCTCGAGGAGATGTGCACATCATCCTGTCTTGATGAAAACTATATGTACAATTGGAACTTCAAAAAATGCAATTGCAAAAAATCATTCTTACCTTAAATAAAATTTCGACTTATCGGGATATTGAGATTTTATTGTTAGGTTAGTTAAGCGGAATAAATGTGAATTTATGTGGGATCCATTTCCCCATAATAGTCAATTTGAGTGAACAGAAGACATCCTGATACCTCACTGGATGTGAACATCATCCTGTCATGATGAAAACTATGTGTACAATTGGAACTTCAAAAAATTGCAATTGCAAATTATTCTTACCTTAAATTAAATAGCGATTCATCGGGATCTTGAGATTTTATTACTGGCCAGCCGTGCTTGCAATATTCAGTTCTATTGTATGTATTATTTTTTAATTTTTATATATTTAGATTCTCAATTTTCAATTCGTAAAACAATTTTTTGATTGGAAAATACATATATGTCAATGCTAAGTTGTTGGAATTTGAATCGAAAAACTTAACAAATTTGATTAAAAGTATATTTGCTTTTCAGAATACTTTGTTATACCTTACTGTGTCTTGTGTCTTATAAGTTTAGGCCAAAAATTATGTAACACATCGGAATATTGGAAAGACAAGACATAGGAAACTATACATGGATATTCCTATCTCGCCAAGCTGCATCGATCTAGCTTTGTATATCAGTCCGTCTGTCTGTCTATCCATGTTAAATTGTAACCACGCTACAAACCGCAATTATGGCCCGATACTCACGAAATTTTTCATGGAGGTAGGGTTAAGATCAGAATAGAAGGAATTTGACATGGAGCTAGAGTTTAGGGCTGCGGAGAAGCCTGCCACTTTAGATGATCATCGAATAATATTTAGCGGGTGAATAGACCATAGCCATTACATAAAAAAATTAGAAGTTTCCATTGAACTGAGAATATTCCTAATTCCGGCGAAATTACAAATACACGAAAAGGTCACTTCTGACCGTTACATTGATGCTGATATGATGCTGATAGATAGACTGTCCAGTAATTCATAATGGCCTTTTGGAATTGCCGATAAAAATTTACATATTTTTCTGTGATCTTTTTTAATTTTTATACTCTTCACCATACTATAGGGATATATTAACTTTATCATTCCCCTTGCAACTCCTTAAAGTTCAAATTTCGTATTTAAATTTCGTAATGGGTACTACATCTTATACCTATCTCGGTATAGCCAGCATATAACGATACCTCTCGATATTCGGTATTTTGATGATTTAAGCGACGTTATTCACCGGAATTGGTTCACATCTGAATATCGTAATGGATACTTTAACCTATGACAGAAAATTGTCCATGCAGATTCAACCATTGTACAATAAGGAGGTAGAGCAGCATTGTAAAACTACAGAAATACAGCCCTGAGCCTATGTCCGCTTCTTGTAAGAATTATTCAAAATTATAGGCAACAAGTTGTTTTCATTTATTTGATATTTTTTGTTAATTTCTAAATGAGTCAAATAGCGCAAAAGAATATGAATCATTAAGAATATGATCTTAAGTGTTCAATCTTTCAATTCCATGGCAAATCCGGTTAAAATGCGCGCACCGCAATTTAAGTTTATTCCAATCATTGATTTTGAAAATATTTTGTTTTTATTTTTCAAAACAACAAATACATACACAAAACCAGTAAAGACCCAACATCCCAACATACCAAAAATACAATACAGCTTGAGAATAATATTATGAAAATAGTTTATCATAAGAATTTTTCAACAATGCTTGAGAAACACTTTTTTGCACAAACTTTTCTCAAATCTGTCCTTTGTTGACAAATTTGTTTTGATTTTTTTTTGTGAAAATTGTCAACAAAAAATTATTTTCTTTGGTTAAAATCAAAATCACGCGAATTTAGGACCCATTTCCGGACGAAACTCTAAGGTAATGATGAATAATAAATCTGGGAATCTGTAGTATATATTATTTCAATCTCATTTCAGAATGGAGGCGTCAAAAAGTTGCAGGAATTCAACAGAAGTGAAGAATAAGTGGAGGAGATACAGAAGCTCAAATAAGGGGAAAGAAAGCATCTAGGTATCAAGGCAACAGGATGCAGTGACAGCTGGGATGGCAATCAATGAATGAAATGTGTAAAATAATTAAAAAATGAATAAATAAATATTTTTTACCATTGAAAAAATAAGCTTTATAAAATATTACTTTCGTAAGCTTATTCTGCAATTACAAGAATAAGCTTATGAATAAGGGTTCCTTTTCGATTATTCTATAATTGTTAAACAAACATTTCTAAATACATTCTCAAGATTTTCTCAAGCTTTAGGCTTATGTTTATAAGCTTATTAAAATATTATTCTCAAGTCAATTTGGTATGTTGGGATACCAAAAATACAATACAGCTTGAGAATAATATTATGAAAATAGTTTATCGTAAGAATTCCTCAACAATGCTAGAGAAAAACTTTTTTGCACAAACTTTTCTCAAATCTGTCCTTTGTTGACAAATTTGTTTTGATTTTTTTTTGTGAAAATTGTCGACAAAAAAAATATTTTCTTTGGTTAAAATCAAAATCACGCGAATTTAAGACCCATTTCTGGACGAAACTGTAAGGTAATGATGAATAATAAATCTGGGAATCTGTAGTGTATATTATTTCAATCTCATTTCAGAATAGAGGCGTCAAAAAGTTGCAAGAATTCAAGAGAAGTGAAGAATTAGTGGAGGAGATGCGGAAGCTCAAATAAGGGGAAAGAAATCATCTAGGTATCAATGCAACAGGAGGCAGCGACAGCTGGGATGGCGATCAATGAATGAAATGTGTAAAATAATTAAAAAATAAATATTTTATACCATTGAAAAAATAAGCTTGATATAATGTTACTTTCGTAAGCTTATTCTGCAATTACAAGAATAAGCTTATGAATAAGGGTACCCTTTCGATTATTCTATAATTGTTAAACAAGCATTTCTCAATACATCCTCAAGATTTTCTCAAGCTTAAGGCTTATTTTTGAAAGCTTATTAAAATATTATTCTCAAGTCAATTTGGTATGTTGGGGAAAGTCCTAAAGTCGGGCGGGGCCGATTTTATGACACCCTACACCACTTTGCTAATTTAGTTGATCCCCACATAACAATTAAAAGTTTTTATGGGAGAATTCAAACATACACCCTTATAATTATAATTAAAAATTCAAAGGACTAAATATGCCGAAGCATTTGTATCTTTTAAATTCGGACTTGTATTGGCCATTTGCTGCAAAATTAATTTGAAATCAGATAAAGATATATAAGGGAGCTATATCCAAATCTGAACCGATCTCGATAAAATATTCGTGAATATCGTTGCTACGGAGTGCATATTACGGTTGTGGGTAACAAATACAACAAATCGTATGAAATATTAGACGTTTGGTGCACTATAAAAGGTAATTCGGACGAAGTTATATATGGGAGCTATATCCAAATCTGAACCGATCTCGATAAAATATAGCAAAGGTATTTCTGAGCTGCATTTGATATATTTCCCCAAATATTGTTGTTACAGAGTGCATATTACGGCTGCGAAGGACAAAAATAACAAATCGCATGAACAATATATATGGGGACTATAGCTATATCTGACTTCGAACCGACTTCGATCAAATTTGGCATACTTATTTTTAGGTCTAATTTGGTTGTATGTGCAAAATTCCATACTATATTACATATTTGGTGCACAATAAAAGGCAAATCGGACGAAGATATATACGGGAGCTATATCCAATTTCAATAGGGTTCGTCCTTGGGCCAAACAAATGTTGTTTGGAAAATTTCATCTCAATCGGATAATAAATGCGACCTGCATTTTGTTCACAAGAATACATGGACAGACGGGCGGACGGACAGACAGACGGACTGACATGCATAAATCAACTAAAAAAGTGATTCTATGCAGATCATCAAAAGGAACTATGGGTCTATTTCGTTTCCTTTTGGCTGTTACAAACAAATGCACAAAGACATAATACCCTGACCACCTTGTGGTGTAGGGTATAAAAAGAAGGGCACTCTCGGAAAAAATTTTAATAACATGGTAGTTCTTCAATACCTATTTATTGTACCATTACTTTTCCGTTGAATAGCACTTGCTGAGTTTAATAGGAAACTTATGTTGTAATATTATGCATATATCAATAAGTTGTAATAATAATTTGATAAAATTTATTTTAAATTTTTAGACTTTAAAATGTAACTTATGTCATATTGCATTGTGAACACTACACAAGTCAATAAAAAGCAGAACTAGATTTAATTGAATTGGTACGTTGCAATCCGAATACAACATACAATATGTTTAATTAGCAACTTCAACAAAAAAACTATATATTATATGTATTTAATTCAATCAAATGGTACTAAAAAATTGTATATTACTGTTCTATAAGAGACGCATCGACTGTAGATTTCTGCGGTTTTAATTTGATTAAAACAGGTATTAATAATTTTAATATGCAATTATTAATGGCAATTTCAATTAATTGCAAATTAAGGATTACAATATGAAATTATTATTAGACGTGTAATATTCAATTAATGCAATTAAAGTGAATAATATAATGGTAAAACGGCATCTGCTGTATATAAAACAATGCAATATTTTACAAAACTTTTCATTGTTTTTGTGAGTGGTTGACCTTTTTATACCACTTCAATTCGCTATTCAAAATGATTTGTAAGGGAAGGCTAACATTTTACACATATGTGTTTTTGTTTCAGTAGCTAGATAAAGTTGGTATGTGGGTCAATGCCGTTACTCCTTTTTATTTAACACCCGATATTCCGGCCACATGTCGTAGCGGAATTGTTCCAAAATCGGTATTGAGCGTTCTATCTCCTTTAGCTGAACACTGGCATTTGTACTAAAGATAAGGTTTACTTTGGTGCATGTTATAAGTAGATATTGAAGAGAAATGTGTATGTGTGAGATAAAAAAAAACCTGCAACAAAGTCAAATGCCATAATTTTTAATTTTTTTATCTTATTGAATGAAAGCAAAAAATGTTGGGAATACTATCAAATTATAGAATATGTTTAGATTTGTTCGAATCTGTAACCTTTGGCACGAATTGTGGCCTCCAAACGGCCAATGAAACCGCTGCCCGAAAGTTGCTCTGCGGAATTTTGACCAATTCCCGGCGAAGTGCTTGCCAACATTGTATTCCGAAATACTCCAGACACAATAGTCCAACGGATTGGTAATCGGAGATTGGATTTATTGTGATGTCAGGGTCGATTAATATGAGAGGAGAGCGACTATCGGCTCTTATGGCGGCCCACATCATCAACATGGCCGGCGCTTGAGTTCTGCCAACTGAAGGTGCACATTTTCAGCTTACCTCTTTGGCAAGTAAACACGATCATTTTGTTTGTTTACAAACTGCTGAACAACGAATGTTTTCCCATCGGAGAAAAACAAATTTGGCAGTTCACCACTTTTGGCCAAGCGATGCAACTCTTTAGCTCTTTTAAGTCTATTTTCTTTCTGTTGCGGTGTAAGTTCTTGTACTTTTTGGAATTTCAATGGCTCATTTTTCAATATTTGCCGAATGGTATATTGCGATATGTTTAGCTCAAGAGCCATTTATAAAGTCGCTTTTTTACTTTTCGAACCATTTCTGCTGATGTTGCTGTGTTCTTCCGTCCACTTCCTTGACGTCGGGCTACGCTACCAGTATAACGGTAACGAGCTATGGTACAAGACACAAAATATTTATCCACATTTAAATACTGGAGTGCTCTAGCGATAGTCACTTGTGGTTTTCCAGGCAAATATAAGGAAATCACACTATAACGCTTGAATTCCATCACGAATAATATTTCTTCTGGAAAATTCTAACCATAATGCTTTTGTACGCTTGTAAACAATATAATGAACTGTCACTGGGATAATTTAAACAGCTGTCGGACGGGTGGCTTAGAAATGACAGCAGTCTGAAGTTGGTTGCAATTTTTTCATCTCACTCTATACCCTTACTATACCCTACAACACTATGAGTTGGGGTATTATAAGTTTGATTGGTCCAAAAATTATGTAACACCTCGAAATATTGCGGGACCAATATAGGAAACTTTATATGGACCTTCCTATCTCGTCGAGCTAAGTCGATCCAGCTATGTATATCCCCCGTCCGTCTGTCAATGTTAATTTGTAATCACGCTACAGGTAGCAATTATGGTCCGATCCTTACAAAATTGAAAATGGTTATGGGGTTTGGGTCAGAATAGAAGACTATTGTTTTGGAGATTATCGCAAAATATTTAGATGTTGCACTTGACCAAAAACAGAAAATTTTCCTGATTTTGCTGGAATTAAAGTTTAGAGCTGGGCAGATCCCTGCTAAATTGGACGGTCATCGGACAATATTTAGCGGGTAAGATAAACCATAAATTTTATATCGAAAAATACAAAAATTTCCACTAAACCGCGAATACTTTTAATCCCGGCCAAATCACAAATATATTAAAAGGTCACATCGGACCATTACTGTGATGCTGATAGCCAAGATGTGGGATATATAGCACAATAGGTACAATATTTATGTAAAAGAAATAAATCTTAGTTACTTTGGTCATAAGTCAAGAACCGCCGACTTGTTTTCACAATTCTCGTCAATTTGGAATGGTCTCTTGACAATAAAAAAAGTAAATATTTTTTTTGTTGTATTTTTCAATTTTCATCATTTTTATCGCATGCTATTTTTTTAATTTAACTTACAATTTTGAACTGTTTATTTTGAAAAGCTTATATACAGGTCACAATTATCGTCCGATCCTCACGAAATTTTGCAAAGGGGCAGGGTAAGGGTCAAAACTGAAACCTATTGTTTTTGTAGATGTACATTTAGGAGTTCAAATGGGCCAAAAACATTAAAATTTACCTGATTTTGCAGTCGCTCTACAGGTCGTAATTGAAAACCAATCCACATGCAACTTTGCATGAAAAAAGAATTAAGACATTGAAGAAGTTTCGAATTTTTGGAGACTATTGGATAATATTTAGTTTTAAAATGGACCACAACTTTCGTGTGCAATTGTTTTGAATACCTAACAACACTAGAGAGTGTGTAAATATTGGGCAAATACCCCCGGTCAAAAACCTAAGGGTAACATCTTGTCAGGGCTCTATGGCATTACTTCAAAAACGAAATCTTCCAAAATGGATTTTGACATAAGGGGGCTTCCAACATTTTGTAATGTTGTGGGGTATCACATGGTCGGCCCCGCACGACTATAGTTGATTAGTTCTTCAACTCAAATATCACCAAGAAATAACACAAAGAGACATATAAAGAACAACATTTAATTAGACCCCATAGATTTCTATTGGTGGTGTATTTTCATTTAATTGGTGCCCAGTACAAACAACACAACAGCAGAGAAATACAAGGAAATATCTCAATCACATGCTCGCAACAGAGCATTGTGTTCAATTGAACTCAATAATGTTCAATATTTATACAATTTGACTCATGCCGCTTCAATCCTTTGGTGCAGTTCTCGCTATAAGAAAAAAAGAATAAATACTCAATAAAAATAAACAAGTCTACAAATACATATTTCTGTATACGTATGTATGTTCATACATGTTTGTACGTATTACTGTCGGAAATTCAAGAAACCCCGCTAAGTTTTATTAGCAATCATAAAATTTGTCTATGGTTTGGTTTGGCATGTGAGCCTGGAAATGCATTTTTACGAGCGGCGTAATATATTTGCCTCTACAGCTAGGTGCTGCTGCTTTCGTTTTATGTTCCAAAAAAATGTAATACGATTTTATGGGTTGCGTTGGTTAGTGTTAACGATTAAATTTGAACGAAAACGT